TAATTATATTTTTCGTAAAGTACAAACCAAAAATTGACATGTATCAGAAAGTGTCAGAACCCCGCTGTCAAACTTGGCAACGTTGATTGAATAAGCCTATTAAAAGCTAGGGATTTCCCGCTTCGGGGGAAGTAGGTGTTGATTACAAAATTGAGCGCGGGGAAGAGAAAAACTCTGTCTAGAATAGAAAAACGATTGGTAACTACTGGAATTCCTCAGGATTATGTTTTCGGCCCTTTATTTTTTATTATTTAAGCTAATGACGTCTTAATATCTGTTTATCTCTATACATCCAGTCTAGTCTTCAAAATAATGCAAAAATGGTTATACTATTCTACATATCTACTTAGTTTTATTATTCTCCATAATTAGATAATCCGATATAGTTAATATGTTTGTATTTACATCATAGAAACAATCATTTAGGTTTGAATGGCTTGTATTATAGTAATAATATTAATTGGTAATAACGCTCTTGCTCTAATCCAGAGCAAGATAGTTGGACATAATCCGAATATCTATATCAATTAAGTGCCATCACCAGTTGCAGTCATAATCCTCAGTGTGATTATCTATTCATGTAAATTGTACACCAGAGCGTCGTGCCCGCAAACATTAATTTCCAGAAGCAGACTCGTGGTTTTAGCCAAACAAGAAGTAATGGGCTCTCCCCAAGCTAATTAACATTTTTATTTGGCTTGTTGCACAGCTTCTGCGTGGATTAGGATACCTATTATCACTGCGTTAATGGCGGAATTTAATAAGCATGGCTTTGAAAAATTTTAGAATATGATACTTGAGGATCCCTAATGTCAAGAAAATGAAAACCTATTGATCTCTTATATTAGAAATGGAACAGGCCATTGTACATGAATAGGAGTGGCAAGGAATTAAAAATAAAGTTTTACTATAAAACTATACTTCTTTCAAATTCATACAATATAACACAAATTGGACTATTGGGGGTTTAATTTTATGAAAAAATACGTGTGGCACTCGGGGACTGCCGCGTTAAAGCTATTACACAGCATTTTTTATCAACTTATGCAATTATAATTATTTATTTTATTTATGCAGTATTTTTTTTTCTTTGATATTAATTTAAGTTACACTTTTTGAGCGTGGTGACCGATAAGAAAACAAATTTTGAATAAATAAGAAGGTAATATTTTTGTACTTATTGAAAAAAAAATATATTTCCTATTTTAAAAGTATCATTATTACTTAACTTCTAGTTCTTGTATTTTATAAACGTTCCAGTCCGCAGACGTTTATTTAACTCCGCTTCATACTAATACGAATAGGGTCGGATAAAGCCTTCCATGGCTACAACGCCGTACCGCTGTGCCGGTGGGAGTGGGAGGTGTTAGGTTTTTTTCCTTACGGTGTTACGAAATTTCTTGATTCGGTCGCCACTCAAAGCCCGCGATAAAAGCTATGCAATAGCTTAAAAATAATTGAGATTCTAGAGAGTGAAAAATTACTAGAGCCTGATTAAGCGAGTTTTTCTACTTCCTTTTATTCAAGATTTTTTGCCAAAAGGTAATAACATTTAATATACTTTGAAATCTATTTATCTATAAAAAATTATCTCGAATGTAGTTTAGGAAGAGGAAGATCAATACACAACTATATATTAAAAAGCCAATTAGAAGAAATATGTTTTAATTATTCTTAAGTAATTTATATTAATATTAAATTGTTTTTGCCTATTATTAAATGTTTGTAGTAGAATTTTCTTATCTGAGTCTAAATATCGTGTTGTTTGGATTCTAGAAGGTTCAGGTCTCGGGTTATAAATGGAGAGAAGCTAGATATTGCCCATCTAATTTTGTTATCGTCTACAATGTATTTGCCAGATATCCAATTATAAACAGATGGATTGTATTCTTCCTCTGCTCAATTGGGCACGTCTGTGATGACCTAGTCAGCGAAGTGTGTTGATAGCAGAAGTTTGATGATATCTTCAAGGTATGCACTTTTCATGCCATCCTCTTTGATTAGCGCACCAATGCTGCAGTGTGGATATCTTGAGAGAGCTTTTTGAAACCTTGCTGCCTACAGGAAATCTTCCATTTCTTTGCAGTAGGATCTCCATGCATCTCTCTGTTTTTGTTTAAACGATTTTTTTGTATTCTCCGAGGTGAGATTTGTAAGTATCCCAGTCCTCTTTGAGTTTTGTGGTTCTTGTCTGATTAAAGGATTTCCTAGCCATCCTTTCGAGGTGATTCAACTCGTGATACCACTATGCAGTAGTCGTCTGATCGTGTTGGACCAGCTTCAGGGGACAGGATTTCTTATGGGTATTGTTAATTGTGCTTTGGATAGTATTCGATTACTTTTCCAAAACATTGTTATTGTTTGGTGTTTCGGCCTCCACCTCTCTCAGAGCCTCTTGGAGAATGTGAGCATAGATTGGCCTGTCCATCTTCCTAGAGATCCGAGATAGCGTGGAAGTCGTTCTCATTATAATATTTTGAATGTTAACCAGCGGTGGTCTGACATCGAAATATCATCAGTCACTTGCTAGTTTTGATTTATATATAAAAAGGGACCAAAAAAAAAACGGCAATTATTTTACGGTCACTTGAGTTAGTGTGCGAAGTTGTGTCGCTGTGAGTGCATCAGTTCGTCAGTGAGAGTTTAAAAAAAAAACATCTTTTTTCATTTCGCCGAAAACGTAATGGCAGATTGTCGAGAGCAACAAGCCGCTGTGAAATTTGGTTTCCTGTTGAGGACATCGGCCACGAAAACTATTGTAATGCTTAAGACTGCTTATGGAGACGCTGATCTAAGTAAAACCAGAGTGTACGAGTGGTTCTCAAGTTTTAAAAATGGAAAAATGTCAATTGATGACCAACCCCGTTCAGGACGCTTCGTAACGTCAAGAGGTGATGAAAACGTGACAAAGTCAATGCCCTCGTTCGCGAAGGCCGCCGCCGAACCATTGATCAACTCTTTGAGATATCTGGAATATTATGGAGTTCAATTCAGAGGAGTTCATTCGAAGATTTGTACATGTATTGCAGACTAATTTGTCCTCCTCCTTTTGTCTCAGGCGAACAAAGGAAGCGTCGTCTTGAGCTTTAAAATCAGCTCAAAGAGAATCCTGGTGACGATTGTTCCTCTCTTCCCTACTCACCGGATCTAACCCCATGTGATTTCTTTTTGTTCCTCAGACTCAAAAGGGAAATATAAGGATAGTGGTTTGCCACTGTGTGAAATAAAAATCGCTGGAAGGCATAAACAACATCCCGATAAGTGAATTTTAAATAGTGAAAGAATCGTTTGGAGAAGTGCGTTGTGGACAATGGAGAATACTTTGAAGGATATCAAAATTTGATGTAAAAATACTAAGAAATAAAGACGTTATGGCGGATTTCCCTTTTTTTAGGTCCCCCCTCGTATACCAGTCATGGATAAAGTGATATCTGTTAGCGTTTGACTGCGAAAGTTTGAACATATTTGTCTAGTACTTTTATTTAAAATACAAAGATTTTTGGTAACTATTTAGTCATACAATCATAGTATCAAGCCCTATTCTTTCAGTAGACTGTTTCGTCCATTTCTCAATCTTGTTTACACCAATAGGCATATTTTTGTACCATCCAGAATCGGTTATAGACGATCTGACGTAATCCTATGATAAGCTTTTTAAACCACCTTATCTGAGAAAAAGATTATTGTGATTAGGCATTAACCACTTACTGTCATATTATTTTTGTGCTCCACCCTATGTCTTGTTTCGGAAAAATCGTTTTGCATTAAATTTTTCCATTAGACTTATTTTCTTAAAAAATGCAGTTTATATTTGCTGCCTCTCTCCTCTCCATTATAGTTCTAATGTTACTATATGATAAAGGTTATTATAAAGTCCTTCTATCTTTCTTTCTAAGAGCAGTCGAGATTTGCTCTCTTTCGGTAGTGATGCCGCGAGACGTCTCGTCTTGTCTCGTCTCGAACGAGACGAGAGATACATTTTCTCTCGAAAACAGATTCGAGACGAGAGAGTGTCATCTCTCGACGGGAATTTCTCGTTTCTCTCGAGCTCTCTCGGGCTCTCTCGAACAATTTTCTCTTTGCTTATTTGAAATTTTCAAATGCTTATCGTAACTTAAAATTTTAACATATTAGATTTCGAGATAGTCAAAAACTTAACTACAACACTTCTATTCTATATACAGTATGGTTCAAATGAAAGGAATAAATTCATTATAATGGAAGTGGTTGGTTTTTCGAAAAAATGGTCAATTGTTTTTACTCAAAGCGCAATTTTCCCCCACTTCCCATTTTTGGGCAGTGACGTCATTGACAATTTTTTTAAATAGTAACCCCAATTTTTTTTCTTGATTTTGATAGATCTTGCAATTTCCTACTCGAAAACATAATATTTGAAATATCTTACATAACATTTTTTTTGAATAAAAGTCATTTAAAGATCAGACACATAAATTTCGCATATTTTTTGCATCACTTCTAGTATGAATTCAATTAACTGGAAATTTAACGAGAGCTTTTCTCGAGATTTTGTCAAACAGTTCTTATGTCTTCATTTCAAGGGCTGATCCAGACCAGATGTTTGAGAGGGGAAGGAAGACTACTAGGAGTCTGGGGAAGTATAAAATGAAAGGTCTAGCGATGCTCCCTAATTTTTTTTTTTTTGTAAATTTAACACTAAACATTATATTTCGGACTGTTTTTAGAATTAACTCCCAGATTTTGTTTTAAATAACTGCTAAAATATTACTTTTTGTGCCATGATATTTATTTAATATTCGTTAATCGAGTAATAAACGTAAGTAGCTTAGATAAACGTTATCTCAAAACAAAATGCTCTCCTATCGTACGAACGAAATAATTACAAAATTATCTGCCTTTTAAACCCACCAAAACAATGTACCTATAGCCTACAAAAACATTCGTTTAACTCTTTATCTTTTTGTTTTGTTGATTTTTCATTTCCACGTCTGCCTTATCACTTTTTTACCGTTTTGTTTTAGGTGAAACGGAGCATAATGTTGAAGATGGCGGACGCCTGTCAGGAGCAGTCGAACCGAAGTTTCCACGAGATGTACGTGCAACGTCACAACAACGTTTCGATACTTTACGCCGACATCGTGAATTTCACGCCTCTCTCCGAGCAGCTGTCGGCCTCGGATCTAGTGAAAACGCTCAACGAGCTGTTCGGAAGATTCGATCAGATCGCACAAGTGAGTAGTATAACATGTTGATTCTCGAATGTGCTGCGTGCCAGTATGCGATTGAATTTTCTTAGCCCCGGTATTTTTACCTACAGATAAAGTAATTAGTGCTGAAGAATAAGTGTTATCTTGAAAAGTCCGTATATATGTAAATGTTAACAAATGCAAAAAAAATTACGCCTTTCCGGAGAATCAAAAGACACCATCAAATATAGGGTGTTCCCTTTAGAAAAACATAACTTTGATATAAATTCCTATTTTTGGGTCACACTGTATAATTCAAATTATTTTTAATTTGTAGTGTTAATGGCCCTGTATATCCCTATTAAGAAAAAAAATTCAAATTTTTATTCGTTTTCCCTACAGATGAGACCGACGCATATACAGGTATTTGCACGATCTACGCGGCCAAAATTATTTTTTTTGCTTATTTGGTTCTAAACAACGTAAATAAATAAAATAAGTTATTTTTACAACAAATCTATATATTTTCTAAATATAATTATATATTTACAAAAAAAATACAAAATTTTAGGTCGGCAAAAAATGTTTGTTAAGTTTCTTGACTTTTTTCGTCGCTCTCTAATGAACTTCCTATTTCAATATGGGATTCTGCAGATACAAACATGGCCAAGGGTTCAGGCAAAAATGTTTTTGCTTTCCTTTTTTTACATTTCGCATGCTACTTAGCACAGGATCTGAACTAAGCAGAAGGCGATTAAAAATGTCCTGATTACAACTTTCCCTGGAAAATTTCCTCGCAAAATCTTGTTGGTAACTTCTGAAATGTTTATTGCGAGCCTCAGCTGCTTCCTCGGAAAGCTGTCCGATTGGTAACAATACCTTTTCAATAATGACTGCACCATGCACTAAAATCTTGTGCATTGTTGGCGTCATAGGATGCCAATCATACAACTTAACATAAAGTCGAACAGTTTATGAAGCATATCTTCCATAATTTACCGGATCAATTTCAAATCCGCTTGAAATTGCTTCCAATATGACTTTATATATATCTATATATCAGTTCATAGCTAATGCCAGTTATTTCTGCAGCTAATGTGGGATTCTCAAAGATCTTCCTGCTAGATTTCCATCATTTGTATTCCCGAAATTGTATTTAGGCATATCTATTAGTAAACCTGTTTCAATGCGGAACCTTGTTTGTATCTCTCTTTTGGTTTGATCTAGGTCTTTCTCCAATTTCGATTTTCTTCCCCTATATTTTTTTACTTTAAGTTAATATGCTAAGTGTAGGATGCATTCAAATAATCGAATTCTAGCGTGTAACACAGATATGCCGAGTTCAAGGGCTGTAAAATTCATTTCTCCTTTGTAATCCAATTTATTAAAATCGAGGTTGCCCCACATATGTAGCACCTACTCGTAGACTTTGTGCCTGTAGCTGTATTGCAGTCATGGTCACGGTCATGATAAATTTGTGCTTGATTAACAACTTTTTCCCTCCTAGGTCGACCTCTGTTGGGACTAAAGAGGTAATAGCGCTTTGGATGTGTGTTATTTCCTCTGTTACATCATTAGTTTCCTTGAAAAAACCATAATCTTATTGGTCGACAAAATCGCGGCGAATAGGGCGTTGGATTATTCCATAAAATTTTTTCATTTTTATCTCCAGAAACTAATTGAAGAGGCACAAAAAAGCTTTGGAATATGCTTAAATCCGAATCAATGCCAATGTCTAGTTTTTGTTTGAACTGTGATTGTTGAGACTCTGGTTGAGACCCATCGCAGCCCCATTTACTAATTATAGTTAGGCAATCACGCTCTCTCTCCTTTAAAGGTATTAATACTTCTTCTAGGTACTCCGATAAACGCCTAAGAGGCTGTAACTGAGCTTCCGCACTGGTACGATTAACGATTCTTAAGGTGGGTAACATTTCTTTTTGGCTTTTTGTAATGCACTATAGCACGGAAAAAACTTCTTATTGGTTTTTCTTATGATTTCGTACTGCCCTTGCGTCAAATCGGCATCAATAAACATTTGCAAAGCTTGCATTGGTGTCAAGGAGTGCTCTTTACTTGATTTCTTAAGATAAGCCCTTTTATATTTAGTTGCTCGTGTCGGAGAACTGGTGACATTTGATGCATCTTTTTTACTAGATTTTCGCAGCTCCACTTTTGCAGCATGTATTATGATCTCCTTTTCAAAATTAGAACGCCGTTCTTTAGTCTTTCGTCTTTTGCTTCTCTCACTTGCGTCTTCAAACGATTTGGATGGTCGACCTGGCCGTTTTTGTGAAGCCCCCACGACAGGTATTTCAAAAGTACCTTCCAGCCAAGATCGATTGTATTTTATAAAATTATCTTCTTTATAATGAGCTTTGGTCTTTGTTTAATTTTTCATATGAAATGGGCAAAAGCACGTTTCAAATTAATAATTTGATCAAAATTATAACCTTCACATGACAAAAGTTGATCTTTTAGATAGTTTAATTTGGCATTTAAATAAGGCATATTTCTGTCTTCATGCGGTTATATAAGTATTGTCGGGTCACAACCCTTACTCCTGTTGCACCCTCCAAACCTAAAACAAACATACACTATGTTAAAAGCCGCTAATAAACATTTCCAATTTTATACGAAATTTTGCTAAATAGCTTTAATTAATGCCTCAAAGCTGTATTTATCCGGACGTTTCCGGAGATGTTTTTGTTAGCATTTATAAGGAAAAGGATCATATAATAACCTATAATGATAACTATAGCTCGATCTACCCCGATACATAAACAAAAACACTAGAATAAAAAAATATTTAAGGAAATGACTGTATGAAAATGAGTTTTTTTTTTGTTATAAAAAAATTATATTGTATAATGGATAATCATGACTTTATTAATGTAGTTTGGAAGCTTCTTACCTTGTCCATCAGAATTCATCACTTTCAATTCGTAAGTAGAACTTAATAACATAAAAATTCACTTTAGAAGTTTAACGTTTAGAAAAGCACCAAGAACAGATACGTACACTAGGTAAAACGGTCAAATTCTGAATGACGCTAGGGTTGGGGTATGCGAGATAGCAGGTAGATGGGAATGGGTATTGTTCCCGGATTCATCCTCTATTCGTGGAACTCGTTATTATGAATGTTATTGTTATTTTGTTGTTGGGGCTTTTAGCCGCGTAGATCGTGCAAATACCTGTATGTGCGACGCGTATAGGATGCGCCACCCTCTATACTGCCACTGTTCTAAGCGTTTAGGATCCTAATAAAAACATTTACAATGACAAAATTGGGGTTCAACAAAAAAATAACAGTAGCAAATCTTTATCTAACATTAAAGCTCTATTTCTTTTCCAGTAAGTTAAACTTAATGTATAATTATTCTTGTTCGTAAGTCAGGATCTATGACTGTAAAATTTTATATTATAGAAATAAACTACTTAACGTAAGATACATATTGTTACTAGTTTACAATAAATATTATATTTAGACATAAATACATTATTTTACTTACATTAGAAGCTTTAAAAAGACATTGAATTGATTTCTCCTTGTGATTTCTTTAGTTTTACATATGATTTGTATCTTGTTTTACAATGTGGACTGAAGTAAATCTTGCTTTAATATTTTTTGTCACTCATGTTACTTGTACCCAGGTACTTTTTTACATTATTTTGATTCTTTTCGCCATTTTTTTTTTAAATCATTTCATATATAGAAAATGAACGTCAGTGACTTTCGACCTGCCACCTACAATCGATTTAGCGAACTTTGTAAAAAGAAAAACAGACATTTGAAATTTGATCATTGCCGATTCGCCTCCTTATATCTAGTCTTCATAATCAGGGTTTTGTGGGTCTGTTATATTGATTCTGATTTACTCAATAAATAATTTATAAATTCAGATTTTCACAATAAACTAAATAAAATTGAAAATAGTTTATTATTACAACAAAAACAGACAATCAACCTACTTTTATCTATTTATATTTACTAAAACCCCATTTAAATATTAAATTTGCAAATATATTGTTTCTACGCCACTGGGAGAATACATTTTGGCAATGAACATGAATAGATGACTATAGTCTATTTTTATGTATGAGAGAGTATTAAAATAATAAAGCCTTCGTAATCCATAGGCGTATTACTTCTTTTAGTAGACAGTTAAAATATTTTTTGAAGTTATTCCTCGAGTATACACTTATATTTTCACCTAATTAACCTGCTTATAACTTCTAAACAGCTGAAGGTAAAAAGTGCAATATTTTCTAAAATGTTTTATTTTTCCACAAGGTATGTTAAGAACATTGTGTCAAACGGGTTATGTAGGTATAAGGGTTTAAACTTTGACTTTTAAACAACGTTACGTTCATAAATAATAATTTTAATATAAAAACTACTTCTTACCTACAAATCCAAATCAGAATCGAAATCAGAAGATGAACTGTCGCAACCAATATTTACAATGAGTGGCTCGATCATTTCATCAGTAATATTGTCCAACTTCCACATTTTCTCTTCTTCTTTAATCGTATGATTTACCTTGCCTGCCTGCCTTTTCCCAGTTTTCAGACTTCACATTATTTACAGCCTCCAAAAACAACTGTTTAACATCACTCATTTTAAAAGCATTATTTTTTCTTGACACTTCTCCCTTTATCTGTGCCCATATCAGTTCAATCGGGTTTACTTCGCAATGGGTGATCTAACCACCGTCATCCACGATTTTTTGCAATTTCATCAATTTCATATTTTTTGAATTTCTCTTCATGAAGGGAACACAAATCATACAGTTCTTTTCTCACAAAACCGGGATGGAACTTAATATTCTTTGAATTTAGCCAATTCTGTAAATCTTTTTTTAACCACTTGGTTGTGAGCATTTTTTCTATAAGTATCGAGTGATAACTTGCATTATCCATTACTATTATACAGTTCTGAGGAAGAAGATCTATAATTTGTTCGAACCACTCTTTAAAGACATCAGCATTCATGTCCTCATGGTAGTCACCGGTACGAGTAGATTCAAAAGTCAATAAACCAC